TATTATTGAAATATAAAAATAATTATTTTAAAAAAATAATTTTTTATTAGTGTAAGTCAATATATAATATTTCGAAAGAAATTAAATTTCTAAAAATATAATTTTAAAATTTTGTTTTAAATAACGTATTTTTTATACGAATAATTCCACAATGCACAAATATTAAAAATAATCAAGTTTATTAATTTCTAGAAGACATATATGCATAGCGGACACTTTTATTCATAACAAATTTTTATTGTTTGGGTTGAAAATAAATTTTTATATAAAATATTATTCATACATATTGATCCGCTTGCTCTAAAAATAGCTGCGATCATAACATTGTAGTGACATCAAAAAATATTATCTTTGTTGAAATATGATTGCAAATTATGCTTAATTCTAATTATGAAAAAATTTTTTATAATTTCTTCTCTTATCTTTTTATAAAATATTAAATAATAATAAATAGTTATTACTTCAATTTCGCAAGATTTAATGTTTGCTAACGAAAAATTAAAAATACATTTTATTTTAATTTTTTTAAATTCAAATTTTTTTGAAAATGGATATATATATATATATATATATGTTACGAGTGTTTTATATGTATATGTTATAAAAGTTCGAATTCTATCACATTCCGATCTTTTATTTAATATCACTTATTATTTATATGTTACATCATATGTTATTGAAGAATTTATTTCACATATTTCAAATATTGTTGTTGTTATCATGTAAATTTATTTCATTTTTTTTTTTCTATAATAATATTATATAAAATTGATATTTTTTTCTTTATTTATAATGGAAAATTGTTTTAATTTCAAATTTATTGATTTAAAATTTATTAATAACAAATCTATTAATATCAGTTTCAATAAATTTTTTTTTATATTCTATTTAATTAAATAATATTTGGAAAAATTAATTATATAATATATAGATTAAAATCAATTATTTTAAAAAGTATTGAAATTAATACATTTATTATATTATATTACATTTATGTAAATGTTTATAATATTTAATATATTTGAAAAAAGAAATAGTATTTAGTTTTATTGTAAAACAATTTTATTATAAAACAAGTTTTAATTTTAAGATTAAATTCATATATTGTCTTATATATAGGGTATAATCACATATCAAGTTGATGTTGATAAGAAGATTGATTTTTATGAAAAAATCAATAGCAAGAAATATAGAATAAAATTATATACAAAAACAAATATAAATATTGTTTTCGACAATATTGTTAATAATAAAATATTTCTAATAAAATACTATTTCAATTGCATTTGAGAATCTCTGGATTGTATGATGTAAGTATTATATAAGATAGACATTGTACTTCGTACGGAAAGTCGTATTTTAATCGTAATTTCATGTGTACGTAATGGATATGTATGCATGATTAAGTTTTAGGTGAAAAAATTTTATTTTTTTTTTTATTTTTTACAAGGAAAAACTAGTATATGTTATAAAAATTTTTTTAATGGAACTAGTTTCGTTTAATTGGATCGGATATAATAGATTTCGAGATTTGACTGTCATGTATAAAAATATATATATATATATGTATATATGTATATATATATATACACATGTGGATATGTATATTTTCTTAATAGTCTTCTTGATATTAATATATTTAAATTTATCTTTAATTTTGATTTTTGTTTTTCTTGTGTAGTTGTTATTGTTAAATAAATGGTTTAATTGTAAATTGGTTTAATTAATAAATTGTTTTTTTTAATTTATGCAATATTCAATTTTTAATTTCTATTATACATAAAGTTATAGAAAAAAAATTTTTCAATTGTTCAATTCTTTTTAATTTTATTATTGATTTTATTAATTTTTATTAAAAACCAATTGTTTTATTTACATTATAAAATATATAAAATTTAAAATCTTGAAATATTATATAATTGAAAAGAATGATTTCTTAATTTTTTCTTTTTTGTATATTACTTTCATGATGTATTTCAGTATATCCTTTAAAAGGTGTAGCTAAATATCGAATTTTCTTTAATTTTCCTTTTGCATCATAATAACCATATTGTCCTTTTATTGTACCATTACGATATTTTTCTTCCAATCTATATTGTCTATTGTTTCTGAAAGAAATATATAATATGTATATAATATATTTTTAATTAAATATATCTAAGCAAAATTTTTATAATTTTATCTATATTTACACATGTATATATTCGCACTCATATATATGTGCACATATACAAAATGCATTATTTGTAATAAATAAATTAATTTTTACAAACAATAATTAGAAATTTATTAAATGATAATTATTATGTGTAATCATGATTATAATCATTTATATTATATCAGTTATATAATTAAAATAAATCAATTTTATTAATTTAATTGTATTATGAATAAAATTCAATTAAAATTCGAATTACAAACCCATATCCAGTATCAAATCCAAAAATATATGTTTGTGGTCCATCATAGCCTTCTATTTGAAATTGTATTCGATCTCTATGTTCTAAAAACTTCCAAGGATCAATATTTTCTTCTTTTTTTATTTTTATATATTTATTTATTGTAGTTTTAATATCTTTATTTCTTTGTAGTAACTGTTCATTATTTTTTTTTAGTATTGGTTTTATTTCGCCATTTAACAATAATTGTTGATTTTCTTTGTAAAATTGCTGATCATTAGCCCATGAAACATTGGTCACGATTATACTCATTAACAGCTAAATATATTTATAAAAAATATATTTTTATAAAAATATTACGTAGTTATTTTTCTTAAATAATATAATATTAATTACTAATTTTTTAATTTATTACACATGCTTTATTTATTATTCATGTTTCTTTAGTTTGATTTTTAACTAAAAAAAAAGAAATTTGAACTATGAATTAATTTTGTTTGTTTTAAAATAAATTTTAAATGTTTTTGTGATTCATTATTCTTTTTTATTGAATTATAGTTTAATTATTATTATATAATAAATTTCAATAAATATATATAAGTTGAACAAAATTTATTCTATTGTTATAGTATAACAATATTTTAATTTAATTATTATAGTAATAAATATAATAAATAGTAATA